TCAACAAAATCTAGTGGAAAACGGACTAAAAAGATACTTATCAATGTCAACAAAATCTAGTGGAAGGAAGACTAAAAGTCCGTTATAACAGTCGATAAAATTTAGTGGAAGAAAGACTAAAAAGACCATCATTAATGTTATCAAAATCTTGAGGAGGAAGGACTAAAATACCGTTATTAATATCGACAAAATCTAGTTTAAGAAGGCTTAAAAAGACCATTATAAAAGTTATTAAATATAGTGTTACGTCTCCGTTTGTTAATTAACTTTCCGTAACTTCTTTCCGACGAAACTTTAGCGACACAAGTCCTTACTTAATAAAACTGGTTTATTCTTTCCGAATATAACTTTACGATACACTTAATTTCAACAATCGCGCTAAAACAAACGCTATAACAACGAACGTGCTCAATAATACTCTCTGACTGCAGATCAATTACTCACTGTCTACACACACATTATTCCGTCACGTTGTCACCCTCTTTTATATACCAGACTACCCTATATCTAGTAAATGCTAGAGCATTCACAAAGGTACAGGATAGTTCTAGAAACATGGCGTGACACAAGTCATGTGACCTCGCTGACGCAGCAATATTTATTCTGCCATAACACTTCTCTTATGTCTTGTACACTGGAAATTCAGTACATTTTACACCCCCCTTATGCTCCATGATGGTCTATTCCAGTGTGTGGAATGATCTTCTTTGCATACATTTTGCTGGTATGTGTATTGTTGTTTTTTAATACATCTTTTAAATAATGGGTGCTATACAGACCAAAATAACACATTTTCTATGTGAGTCACATTGTTAAATACTTTCTGTTAACAAGAGAAAAAATCTGACATTGCTTGAATGTAGCCTGATGAACCTTTGAATGTCTAGAGCTATCTTCGTTTTCTTAGCTTGCAAATGAACATTTGAATCTTTGATCATAGCCCTATAAAATATGTTACAATGGCCAGGGAAAAATTTATTGTGATATTGTTTTACATTACTAGTTTTACAAATTCTGACTGATTAACTTGGAGTTCTGTTTTATTACATGTAGATTTATACATATAATAAAGATAAATACATGTATTAATTTTCAACATAATTATTTTCCATTGAAGTACAGGGGTTTGTGATATTCCTTTGTTAATCTACTATCTGATATCTGAAGAAATCTCTTGAATTATCCAGTAAACAATAAATTTAAAGGTCAGACACACATTAGAAAAAATAATACATCTGATTGAGAGGGCTCATTGGACTTGATGCCAGTCTTTCTATAAGTGCCTGTGTTTGAATACATAAATCCTTAAAAATACCAATGACATAATGTATGTTTACACATCCATGAAAAAGGAATTAGAAAGCAAAGATGCATCAAGGATGTATATAAGGTGACGTATTGTGGGAAAAAGGCTAATTTCAGAACGGTAATTATAATTTCTGAAAAGTTACTTCTTAAAGTATTGTATATTGTTTAACTGAATACAGTAAATACTGACGTAATGTAGGAGACAAAGAAATAGCTCTTATACATATAAACATAATGTAAAAGAAGTAGGTCCATAACATAGATTTAATTCCATGAAGTTATCAATGAAAGGAAATAATAATATGCTATAATATGTCAGTTACACCATACATGCTACACTCAGTGCTGCTGGTAATGCCTTTTTTCCAATACAAGGACTTATAGGCCATCTTGGATATGACTGATGTAGTAATCAAAGTAATCAATTTTGTAAACAACAACTGTTATGGTATGAACTGTTATGTTATGGTATGAACTACATTATTATCAAATTTATTTCAATCGTTCACAAATCAGATTATAGGTAAGGATTAGTAACATGTTATTAAACTGGTTATTTATTAATATTATATTCGTTGAATTACTTTGACTATTAATAATTCTGAAGAATTGGTGAACCAGCAAGCTAATCTTCTTGTTTTTGGAGCAACCACAGTATAATGGGAAAAAAAACTACATTAGTAGTTCTAAGAAATTTAGGAGTAATAGGAAAAAAATAAGAATATTTTATAATATGTCAATCACACAATATCTGCC